CATCCTGGACTTCCTACAGCTCAGGAGGAAGTTGTGAACAGCATTTTAACACTAATCCCCATCCCACTCTCATCTCTTCCTTCTGCCCAGCCACTTCTTCACCCCAAGAGCACTATTTAAAAGGAAATAGTATCTTGCTCAAGTCATGCTAAACAGAATTAGATGTACTGTGATGTGATTGTACAGTTCCTTCCTGCCTGTCCCTCTCCAACACTCCTCTGTAAGAGAAGCTGTGTTTGRTACTCACCCAGGTGCCCAGCCTGGCCTGTCAGCCCCCAGCCCACTGCCCCACACTTGTGCTGCCTGGAGTGACACAGCTAATTTAGATGAGGCTTTCAATGACACAGAGGGGGCTAACATCCACCAAATTGTGCCCAGAAGGAAAGAAGACAGCAGATACAGGGGCCATGCCCCAGCAGAGACAGACTATATGGCAGCCCTAGATAACTTGCTCTGTTTTTCTGGGGTCTTTTTGGCAAACCTCACCTTCCACCTTTTGATGCCTGCTGATGCACAACACATTTTGCACCATAAAAAAAGCAATTTTTTTCAGTAATGTTTTTGCTAGAATGCATTACTGCAATATCATGAGAAAGCAGAAGAACACAAAAAGTTTTCTTGTGCACAAAACTGAGAGGAAGCAGCTCTTCTACACTGGCTATTCTGTAGGCCGCAACCAATTAGAGAATTTCCTGGGGGAATTTGCTGTAGTGATAATTTGATATAGTAGCACTACATTTCTCTCTTTCAAGGTGGGGAGACTTTCTCTGGGTTCTTTATAACTTCTTTTGCTTTTGTACCTATTGAGGAGACAGTCCCCAGCCCTTTTCTGCATTTAGAAACTTTCTGCAGCATGGCAAGGGAGCTTGATCTGAGAGGTTCTTGGAGGGTTGGACTTGARAAGGGAATTGCACCCTTTAGCAGCACCTTCCCCTCAAAAACCTAGGCACAGGCATGAAAATGGWACTCCATCTTATTCCTCTCAAATTAATTATTATTTCATTTCAGCATCCATTTCTCATGCAAGCATCTGTAAGCTCAGAAGAAATCATCAGCTGTRGAAATGGAAATTCAGTGTCTTCTCCAGCATAGACATGTTCTGTGTTTCACATTGGGACTGCATGTTGTGACAGCGTCAAGAATATTACAATCTTACTGTCAACATCTCTCATGGAAGTGGCCTAAGAAGGAAATTGCAAACAAGATCCTGCTGACTGGTTTGGAAATGGAGAAGGCTCTGCTTTTGTCATTACTTTTCCTGGCTYTAATCCAGTGCTAAAATACTGCATTTATGCTATGATCATTTTATYAACCTCATTGTTTCATGTTTTCTTCACTTCCAACTCGTAATCACAAACACAAACATTTCCTTTTTCAAGCTGGTTCCTTCTAAATCAAAATTCCACGTCGTTTTGTTTACCACTTACACGGCACTTTCAACCATGGAAAAGCTGGCACAAAATGGCAAAATMTTTTCTACTTCATGTCCTGCAGCTACAATTAAAAACACCCCAAACCCATTAATTTCAGCGCTGCTCTTTCTGAAATCGTGCCACAGGTGTGAATTACTCCATGAATACGGTGTATCAAGACAGGATACACCGTGACAGATCATGTAAGACAAACTACCAGATAAGGCAAAATAAAACATACCACAAGGAATTATATTGCCACGGAAATGCTGTTGCAGCCACTGTGCTGGTTCTGCCCCAAAGCGGTGTCCCGTGTGCCATTTTCAGACTCAATTCTTGTCGCTTGCTTGTAGCTGTGAAAASTCTTGTGTCACCTGTGAAACGCTCATGCAGCCACTCTGGACCGCACAAAACCAGCATGCGAAAGTTAAACTTTGTTACTCTACACTTTTATTGAAAAAGTAATTATTCAAGTAAGTGCGCCATAACCAGCTAAGTCTGTCAAGCAATTAGAAACTAAAGTGTTAGGAAAATCAGGTTGAGCAATATTTTAAATCTTTTTTATGACTGTAACTCACATGTTACTGGCATTCAGATCAGCCATTCAGATGGGCATTTTTCTTATTAAAAAGATTGAACATCTCAGGCAAGCACAGTGAAAATTGSAAGCTGAATGGAATGCAATCGAAGTTAATCTCCAGTAGAAAATCAGCAGTTAMAATTGTTAATCAAATTGTTCAGAGCTTTCACTTAACAATAATTAGAAATTGCAAGTYAAATCATATTTCTGAAAACATTAATCTGTTTTACAATTACTTTAATGCWGTAGTTAGAAAGATGAAAGATTATTTTAAAAATAGCATTTTGCCTTTGTCCTACCCTTTTGAGGAAAAGCCTGGTGTCTTTGAAAAGCTTTCTTGTGCAGCTGAGTAGGTGTGTACATGGCTCCATACCTGTGCAGAACAGCTGCTAAGAAGAACTGAAGCCAAGTAGGATTTCTGTTTTACTGTACTGTGGTTAATATTTCATTTGATCTATTTAATCATGTTTAAAATCTGATTTATTCAAAGTAGTCATGAGAAAGCAGACCTCTGAGTTCACAAGTCTATAAAGTTACTGTGCCCTGGATGAATCACTCATAAATGGAGGTGTACGAAAAGCAGGAGAGGGTAAATGAAAATTTTTTTTCCTTCACCCTGAGCAGAAATATGGCAACATGTAGTTGAATTTGGAACTGAAATTGTGATATGTACTAGGAGTGTCTCTTTCCCTTTCAAAGACCAGAAAGCAGACTAAAAAAAAGCAATTACATAGCAAACAAAAGCAAACATGGGTGCATGATGATTAATTGCCCTGTGTAACTTTCCATCAGCTTTTTAATTCCGAGGTGGTTTGAACACAGTGCAATGTTGGACTGTTGCAGCATCGCTGTGTGGTTTGGTGGCAGGAGCAGCAGGACAGTGCACAGCATCATCAGCTCCCAGTGCCCATGGGGTCAGTGGGTGGGACAGGGAGCCACAGCACGCCAGGGTGTGTGTGGAATGGCGTGTTCTTACATGT